ATATCCTGAGGATTAGTTTAGTGGGATGAGGAATGTGCCTAGGTGAATCAAAAGAACACGAAAAGCTAACATGGGTGGCGCCTGTGGCTCATTGGGTAGTGCGCCGGCCCCATATACCAGGAGTGGCGGGGTTCAAACCTGGCCCCAGCTGAAATGCAACAACAGCAAAAAATAGCCAGGCATTGTTGTGGGCACCTGTAGTCCCAGCTACTTGGGAGGCTTAGACAAGAGAATCGCCTAAGCCCAAGAGTTGGAGGTTGCTGTGAGCTGTGTGATGCCATGGCACTCTACCGAGAGTGATAAAGTAAGACTGTCTCTACAAAAAAAAAAAAAAAAAGAAATTAAAAATAAAAGCTAACATGCTTAGGAAACAGGAAGAAACAAATAGAAATTTATCTAACTTCATTCTTTTGGTTATTTTCCTGAAACTAAAAGTCACTCGTTGCAGGAATTGTTGGTATTAGGAGCAAGGTGGTCCATAACATCAGCCCTAACAAAAACATCTGCCAGGTTTGGCAGCCTTGGCACACTGGTTACAGCTCCAGCCATGTGCACCAAAGTTGGTGGGTTCAAACCTGGCCCAGGCCAGCTAACCAACAATGACAACTGCAACAAAAAATACCCGGGCATTAGGGCAGGCGCCTATAGTCCCAGCTACCTGGGAGGCTGAGGCAAGAGAATTGCTCGAGACCAAGAGTTTGAGGTTGCTATGACCTGTGACAGGACTCTACCAAGGGTGACAGTGAGACTCTGTCTCTCGGAAAAAAAAAAAGTCTGAATAGCAAACCGTTCAGAGAGTGCTATTTAAGGGATAATACCTAAGGATCTATGAAGAAGAGATGAATAAGGGACAAAAGCTTGGGTGCTTGGGGGCAAATTTCATTCATAATCTGTGTTTTCCACAGTCCCTGCTTCCTGAGATTGTGGTGTTGGGAGGGGTGACAAGCCAGTCTGTGTGGCTCCAGTTTCTGAGGATCTGCCGGGTGCTGCGGTCTCTCAAACTCTTTGCACGATTCCGTCAAATTCGAGTTATTATTTTGGCCCTGGTCAGGGCCCTCAAGGTGATTTGATTGTTGCAAGCTAAAGCAGAGGGGAAAAGTGGATAAATACAGGGGTTTAATATTTAATATGAAACAAGTCTGGGTATGTCAAAGAAGGCAGCAAAAAGTCCTGTGAAATGTGATTGACAAGAAGGAGCTGGGGACAGTTGCTGTGGTTCAGAAATGACTGGGCTCAGGAGCAAAAGGGAGGATTTGGTGGGGGATTTCCAGGTGGGCTTGACTGGGCTGTCAGTGGAGATCAGCCTTGTTTCGCCCATCTCTGACTTGAAGTCATGACCTCTAGAGCATGACCTTCCTCCTGATGTTGCTGCTCATCTTCTTCTACATTTTTGCTGTGACTGGTGTCCACTTCTTCGCAGAGTATACCCGTTCAACTCGCCAGGACCTGGAGTACCACTTGTTCTTCTCGTAGGCAGGGCTGGGGGAAGCCTGGGTGAGGGCAGAGAATTTAGGTAAGAGACCAGGAAGCTTATCCAAAGTATAGTAATTCAAAAAGTATTGTCTATTCCAAGAAATTGGAATAGAACATAAATAAGGAGGAAAAAGTGAAAGCAGTGAGTGGTATTAACTCTAATCTTGGGTAGGGCATCTAGTTCTGCATTTATTCTGGGTTTTGCAAATTCAAACTCACTCTTAATCAACCTTTCCCTCCCTCCCTCCCTTCTCCTTCTTCCTTCCTTCATTACTTCTTTCCTTCTCACTCTCTCTCTTTCTTTCTTTTCTCTGAGATACGGTCTTGCTCTGTCCCCTGGGCTATAATGATGTCATCATAGCTCACAGCAACTTCAAATTCCTGAACTCAAGCAATCCTTCTGCCTCAATGTCCCAAGTAGCTGGGACTACAGGTGCACACTACACCCAGCTAATTTTTCTGTTTTTTTGTAGAGACAGGATCTCATTTAAAAGTAAAATCCAGGCCAGCTATGGTGTTTCATGCCTGTAATCCTGGCACTTTGGGAGGCCAACATGGAAGGATCCCTTGAGCTCAAGAGTTTAAGACCAGCCTAAATAAGAGCAAGACCCCATCTCTATTTTTATTTATTTTTGAGACAGAGTCTCACTTTGTTACCCTTGGTGGAGTGTGGTGGCGTCATAGCTCACAGCAACCTCAAACTCTTGGGCTCAAGTGCTTCTCTTGCCTCAGCTTCCCAAGTATCTGGGACAATAGGTACCTGCCACAATGCCCAGCTATTTTTTTTTTTTTTTTTTAGAGACAGGATCTCACTCTTGCTCAGGCTGGTCTCAAACCTGTAAGCTCAGGAATCCACCTGCGTTGGCTTCCCAGAGTGCTAGGACGACACCATTGTCCTAGCACATCACTACTTTTAAAAAGGGAAAAATTAACTGGGCATTGTATTGGGCATCTGTAATCCCAGATAGGTGGGAGGCTGAAGCAAAAGGATTGCTTGAACCCAGGAATCTGAGGTTTCTGTGAGCTAGGCTGATACCTCTAGCCTGGGCTACAGAGTGAGACTCTGTCTCAAAAAAAAGAGAAAAAAGTAAAATCCAGGGGCAGTGCCTGTGGCTCAGTGGGTAGGGCGCCAGCCTCATATACTGAGGGAGGTGGGTTCAAACCTGGCCCCAGCTAAACTACAACAAAAGATTAGCCAGGCGTTATGGCGGATGCCCATAGTCCTAGCTACCCCGGAAGCTGAGGCAAGAGAATAGCCTAAGCTTAGGAGTTGGAGGTTGCTGTGAACTGTGACACCATAGCACTCTAGCAAGGGCGATAAAGTGAGACTGTCTCTTTAAAAAAAAAAAAAAAGAAGTAAAATCCACCTAAGATCTCTGTTTAGAAAATACTGATTGCTAGAAGAAAATCAACTTAAATTTAAGTAGATAATACTATTTATGAATTAAACCCAATCTTTTTTTTTTTTTGAGACAGAGTCCCCCTATGTTGCCCATGGTAGAGTGCCATGGCATTACAGCTCACAACAACCTCAAACTCTTGGGCTTAAGAGATTCTCTTGCCTCAGCCTCCTGGGACTGCAGGTGCCTGCCACAACGCCTGGCTATTTTTTCATTGTTGTTGTCATTGTTTAGCAGGCTTGGGCTGGGTTCAAACTCGCCAGCCCTGGTGTATGTGGCCAGCACTCTAAGCCCTGAGCTATGAGCACCGAGCCAATTGAATCTAACCTGTCAACTCTCAGGTTTCTCTTAGACTCTATAAAAATATTGAGTTAGGAAGGTCCTAGAATTCATCTTATACAAGCCCTGATGTTTTCAATAAATTGTATATGGGGAACTAAAAGGGAAAGAATGAAAATTTATATATCTTTCTAGTAGAGTTTTTATCACATAGTCTCATGAAAGTATCAATTTTTATTAATTTTTAAATAACTTATTTTATAATCTTTAATATTACCTATTCACAATCTATTCATCATTTTTAAATAACTATTATTAATTTTATAGTCTTTTTATTTAATTTTATAATCTTAAATACTACCTATTGATAAGCTATTCATCATTATCCATTATTTGGGATCACATATGTTTATGTCACATATCCATCCCTACTTGCCTATCAGTTCATACCAGTGAAATAAATAGAAATGATGGCTCGGCGCCTATAGCTCAACCGGCTAAGGCGCCAGCCACATACACCTAAGGTGGCGGGTTCGAATCCCCAGCCCGGACCCGCCAAACAACAATGACGGCTGCAACCAAAAAATAGCCGGGCGTTGTGGCGGGCGCCTGTGGTCCCAGCTACTTGGGAGGCGGAGGCAGGAGACTCGCTTGAGCCCAGGAGTTGGAGGTTGCTGTGAGCTGTAATGCCATGGCACTCTGCCCAGGGGGACAGCTTGAGGCTCTGTCTCAAAAAAAAAAAAAAAAAAAAAAAAAATAGAAATGATGTTTGGTAAATTTACGAGTAATCTTCTATTAAGTAGAAACCAAGGAGAAGAGAAGAATGACCTTAGGAAAAATTATATCTCATTGGTGATTCATTCATCTTTTAAAAATTGAATCAATACCTATTTATTGAGTTGTCACTAAGCACCAGGACTAATGGAATAGATTATTCATAACAAGGGAAAATTTAATAAAACAATTTCAGAGTCAAGAATGGGCCAAGCAAAAAGGCTCATGCCTGTAATCCTAGGACTTTGGGAGGCTAAGATGGCAAGATTACTTGAGGCCAGGAGTTTGAGATCAGCCTAGACAACATAGTGAGAACCTGTCTCTGGCGCCTGTGGCTCAAAGGAGTAGGGCGCCGGCCCCATATGCCGGAGGTGGCAGGTTCAAACCCAGCCCTGGCCAAAAACTGCAAAAAAAAAAATAGCTGGAGAAGGTGACACATGCCTGTGGTCCCAGTTACTTCGTAACCTGAGGCAGGAAAATCAGTTGAGTCTCAGATTTGGAGCTTGCAGTGAGCTATGATCAAGTAACTGCACCACAGCCTGGGAGGCAGAGGAAGACCCTATCTCAAAAACAAACAAAAAATCCTGAAGAATGATAAGCTAGAAATTTAGTATGGTAGAAGAGGGAGCCAAAATCAGAGCAAATTACAAAGAAATGTTCTTTTGTTGCTTTAAAAGTAAGAATGATAACAGTTTCTGAGATGTTTAGATCTCTACTTCTATCTATTCACATGCCTTTTACTTTAGTGACCTGATGAATTCCCTGGTGACAGTGTTCATTCTCTTCACCTTGGATCATTGGTATGCACTGCTTCAGGATATCTGGAAAGTGCCTGAAGTCGGCCGCCTCTTCAGCAGCCTGTATGTCATCCTTTGGTTGTTGCTTGGCTCCATTATTTTTCGAAATATTATAGTGGCCATGATGGGTAAGCATAGAGGAGATGAAATTTGGTGGGTAGGGTGGTTGGGAAGAAATTAGTCTGAAAGCTGGCATTGGTGGATTATGGGGAAAGAACCTAGTGTAGCAGGGAGGCTTGGGTCCTGGAATGGATATTTCTCTTGGTTTCTCCCAAGCCAAGTCCTCTCCCCAGGTCTAGTCACTACCATCTCCCAATCCCTGATGGCCCTTTGGGGCAGTTACTAATTTCCAGAATATCAGGAAAGAGCTGAGTGAGGAGATGACACATCTGGAAGTTCAGCACAAAGCTGACATATTCAAGCGTCGGATTATCCAGAGGTCTGATTCCCCATTTTCTTTCTTTCTTTCTTTTTTTTTTTGAGACAGAATTTCAAGCTGTCACCCTGGGTAGAGTGCCATGACATCATAGCTCACAACAACCTCAAACTCTTGGGCTTAAGTTATTCTCTTGCCTCAGCCTCCCAAGTAGCTGGGACTACAGGTGCCCACCACAATGCTCAGCTATTTTTTGGTTGTGGTTATCATTGTTGTTTGGCAGGCCCAGATTGGGTTCAAGCCCACCAGCTCCAGTGTATGTGGCTGGCACCCTAGCTGCTGAGCTACAGGCGCCAAGCCCCAGCTATTTTTTTTTCTTCCTTTTTAGACACAGAGTCTCACTTTGTTGCCCTTGGTAGAGTACCATGGTGTCACAGCTCACAACAACCTCCAGCTCTTGGGCTTAGGCGATTCTCATTCCTCAGCCTCCTGAGTGGGACCACAGGCGCCCGCCACAACGACTGGCTATTTTTTGTTGCACTTTGGCTGGGGCTGGGTTTGAACCTGCCACCCTCGGTATATGGGGCCGGTGCCCTACTCACTGAGCCACAGGCAGTGCCCCAGCTATTTTTTTGGTTGTAGTTATCTTTGTTGTTTTAGCTGGCCCAGGTCGTGTTCGAACCCACCAGCCTTGGTGTATGTGGCCAGCACCCTGCCCATTGACCTATGGGTGGCACCTGATTCCCCATATTCAAATCCAACTTTATTTCTCACGGGTTTCCTGAGCTCGTTTCCCATTTTTATTCCTTGGCCTTGACCCCACTTCTGTTTGTGAGAGAATATTTGCTCCCAAGGTTAAGAATTCTCTAGCTCTAGAACAGTGGTTCTCAATCTTCCTAATGCCACAACTCTTTAATACAGTTCCTGTAGGTCATGACTCACAGGTTGAGAACTGCTGCCTTAGAATATTGCCTGATTCTTCACCTGCTGTGGGGACTCCTCCATTCTTTTTTTTTTTTTTTGCAGTTTTTGGCCAAGGCCGGGTTTGAACCCTCCACCTCTGGCATATGGGGCCATCACCCTACTCCTTTGAGCCACAGGCACCACTCTCCTCCATTCTTTTTTTACACCTTGACTACAATTTGTTTTCTCCACTCAGATTTGTTTACTTTCTGATTTGAATTATTATTTTTTTTGAGACAGAATCTCACTATATTGCCCTCAATAGAGTGCCATGTAGCTGGGACTACAGGCGCCTGCCACAGGGCCTGGCTACTTTTTGGTTGTAGTTGTTGTTCAGCATGCCAGGGCTAGGTTTGAACCCATCAGCTTCAGTGTATGTGGCTGGTGCCCTAGCCTCTGAGCTACAGGTGCTGAGCCCTGATTTGAATTCTTTAGCTTGGCTCTAGCTTTCTTCACTCTCTTGGTTTTTTTCCTTTGCAGGAGACAAAACCTGTCCCCTGAGGCAATCAGGTCAAGCCATAGCAAAATGGATACCAGGTAAGCAGTGTATATGTGAGCTGGGATTAAACACATGAAAGAGGAGAGTGTAGAAAACCAAAGATGAAGATTGGTTTTAAAAGAGAATTCATTCATTCAGTAACTATTTGGTTTTTTTTTTTTTTTTTTTTT